GCTGAGCAGGGAGCCCAACGTGGGGCTCGATCTCAGGACCCCAGGATCATGACCTGAGCTGAAGTCAGACGCTTAACCTACTGAGCCACCCAGGTAACCCATGTTTGGTATATCTTAAGTGCTAAATAAAGTTGTGAACTGAATGAATAAATGAGGGAATGAATGAATGAATGAATGAATGAATGAATGAATATGCAGGTATTTCCAAATGTTAAAACTTGAAGTCTTAAGAAATTACAGAACTGTAAGTTCTACCAATCTTGAGCAACATACTCAAATGGAATTTTGAGAAAAGGATTTATAAGCCCATAGGAAAAAAAAAACAGTTCCCCAGAAACTACAGTGGGTGTATTAACAAGTAATTTCAGAAGAATTACATGGTTGCCCATGCTGAGATTGGACTGATATATGTATCCATTCATTCCACAAATATTTATTAACTACTTATTTGTGCCTAAGGGGTACTGAGACTTAACAGACAAGGTGCCTGTTCTCATGGAACTTATATTCTGGTTCAGGGATTTGGGGAGGCAAACAACAAACAAATAAGCCAAAACAAAAGAACATGATTCTGGTTTGTGATAGGCACCAGGAAGAAAATAAAATCACATCATATAGCCAGGGGATGATGGTTGATGCACAGGAAGTAGGGCAGGAGACTTTAGAGAGGTGACCAGGGAGGACTTCTCTGAGGAGGTGGCATCAGAATAGAAAATTGCATTGGCTGAAGGAACTAACTATGTAAATTCTTGGAAAGAGCTATTCTGTGCTTAGGGAAGAGAAAGTGCAAAGGCCCTAAGGTAGAAAAAGCCCGGCATGTTCCAGGAATAGCAAGAAAGCCTCTAAGGACAGAAAGAAGTAAAAGGAATTTTAAGAGATTGGCATGGAGCATCCAAGAAGAAACTTTACTTGCCAGAAAGGAGTCTCAATTTTATTTTAAGTGAAGCAGGCAGGGGAATGATGCAATTTTATCTCTTTTTTATAAAGATCACTTTGGCTGCTGCCTGTTAAATAGGTCTGGGGACACTGTGGCAGGGAGCAGGAAGTCCAGCTGGAAGTCTATTTAAATACGCAAGGTGAGTACCAGAGGCTTCAGCTCTGGAAGCAGGAGAAGTACATGGATTTGGGATGTGTTTTGGAGGACAGAGCTGACTGAGCTACTATGAACTGTAAAGAAGTTGAGACCGAGCCCTGAGATTTAGCATAGGTCACAGTGAACTAGAAGGGAAACCAGGTTTTTAAAAAGTGGAAGTGGCTAATTGAACCAAATACTACTGAGAGGTTGAGTGAAGGAGAAATATTAGAAGTGACAATTGGAGTTGGCGATGTGGAGGTCACTGGTGGTCTTGACTAAAATAGTTTCTGTGGGGCATTCTACATTAGTCAGGGTTCCCCAGAGAAATAGGACTAGGTGATTGATGATGATGATGATGATAGATAGATACATAGATAGATAGATGATAGATAGATAATAGATATGCAGATAGATGATAGATGATAGATATAGATAGATAGATAGATAGATAGATAGATAGATGATAGATAGATAATAGATGATAGATGACGATAGATGAGAGAGGGAGAGAGAGAGAGATGATAGATAGAGGTACAGATACAGATACAGATATAGATATATTACAAGGAATGGCTTACACAATTGTGGGGGCTGGCTAGACAAGTTTAAAATTCACCTGTTATGTCAGGTCAGGAGGGGCAGGCCAGAAACTCTGGCAGGAGCTGAAGCTGCACAGCACAAGTAGAAATTCTTCTTCTTCGGGGAAACCTCAGTTCTGATCTTAAAACCTTTCAACTGACTGAATCCAGCTCACCCAGACATCAAGGCTAATCTCCTTTACCTAAAGTCCAGTGATTGTAGATGTTCACCACATCACAGAAACACCTAAATTCGTGTTTGCTTGAGTAGCAAGACTGCAGCCTAGCCAAGCTGACACTTTAAACTGAACACCACATGTGTACAGACTGAATAGAATCAATCGCAGTGTGCCAGGAGGTGAGCAGGTAGAGTCAGTAACCACGGACAAGATTTGGAGAGAAGCTATTCTGGGAAAAGAAAGGTGGAGAGGGAGAAGTAGCTGCTAAGTAGGGCCATAGGGCTTTTGTTGTTGCTGCTTTGTATGATAGCTTGTCCAGCAAAGTTTTATATTTTTAGGAATGATCCAGTCGAAATGGGGGATAAGATGATGTTGAAAGAGAGTTGGGATCCAGAGGACAGGCTGAGATGTGTTTTTAGATAGAAATGAGGGACGTGTCCCCCCCCCTTTCCCCCAGGAAAAAGCATCAAAGCACCGGGATTAGTGACTGAAAAGGACCAGGTCCTGGCTTGAGGATGGTCATAGACCTCTGGGTCCAGCAGCTCCCCCAGGTGGCTAATATCCCATCACTCATACTAGGTACCAAAAGGTAACTTCTCCCCTGAGGGGATGCATTCATTAGGCAAGGAGTCTACCTGGAGAGGAATCTATGTAGTACTGGGCTATTCCAAATCAGGGTCTGTTAGGTTGGTCAAGAATTGGGCTTTACCAGATCTGTGGACTTCCTAATATTGTAGAAAAGTCTACTTATAAAAAATGTTACTGTGGGCACTTTTCCTTAAGAGAGGGTCCTTTACTGCCATCAGATTCTCAAAGGGATCCAGCAACAGAAAAAGCTGAAGATGCTGCTCAAAGGTCTCTTTCACCCTACAGTGTGCTATTTAACTTGATGCTCTGAGTCTTTCTGTGCACGCACACAGAACAATGTGCGTGAAGAGCAAGGACAACAGGCTGGACTGGCAGAAAACAATGAGGACAAGTTAAATAGTAATAAGATTGTTACACCTAAATAGATTGGTGAAGTTATAATATAAATAATCTTTTTAACTTCAGCATGAAAGCTTCACGTTGTACTTAAAAATAAACCTCAGAGTAGTGACAACTGTTATCAAGAGAAAAGGTAACAAGAGACTCTGGGTGTGCCAGATATCCCCGGATAGGAAGCATATACCCTCATAGACATTCTATGCTTTGTGGAAGGCAGTGTCTCCCTAGCCTAATGGTTTGTTGATGTATCTGTTGTATTAACACATTCTTTCTGGAAGTGCTTGTTCAGGATAAAGACAATCATTTCACAAGTAAATCCCCTCCATGCAGAAATGTATTTTTACTAGACACTCTGTGTCCATAGCTTCCATAGGGAGCTTGTTAAATACTCAGCTTTCTGGGTCCCTATGCCCAGAATCCTAATCCAGGATGTATAGGACATGACTAGGCAAATGCATTTTTAAGGACAACTCCAGATGATTCTGATACAGGCATTCAGTTGACAACATTACAGAAAATAGTACCAGCATGTAACCAAATAGACACTTCAACAGGACTTGTTGAACTAATTTTAGTGGTAGCAATCACATGTGTTCATTTACTGGAAGTCACTGGGTTTTGGCATATAAGCAGGAGGTGTCACTGCTAAAGTAGAAAAATAATTTATGATGATGCAATTTTAGATTTAAATATAAAATGTATAGGGGAGAATTATAGGAAAGATTACATTTCTTGCATAATTGTTACTTTATTCTAGAGTGATTGCCAGCTCTACCCATGTTTACAACCTTTCTTATTTGCAAGATTAAGCACCACTTCTACATTCAGTACCAACAACTCACAGACAAATGGATGGCCAGCATAATTCCAGGAAAGAAGCATTCCCTGGGTAACACTGGGTTGAAACGTTCCCTTTCCTCCTCTTCTAGAACATGTGAAGAGGGAGAACCTTTTTTCCTCATGGTTTTGAAGGAGGGGCGAATTTATAATACCTCACCCCAATTCTGGGAAAGAATGGAGCTCAGATTACTCTTCTACTTCAAGGACCAATGATGCATAAACTCCAAGAGCTCTTAAAACTTTGAACTTTGTGTTGTTAAGCTCTTATGTTATCACCACAGAGTTCCTTCATTCCTACGCAGAAGGGTTTTTTACATTTTCAAATGTGCAGAAGTTATTAGAGACTTGAAAGAACGTTAAAACAATTGAGATTGCCATCTCAATGGCAATTGAGACTGCCATCTCAATGGCAATTGAGACAAACTGGTTCTACTCAATTGTAGATAAACTAGTACCATGTGGGGAAGGCTGCTCACAACACACCAGCATGATGGTACATTTATACACTTACTATAGGAGCATCCATAGACCTCCACCCTCATGCCAATCTTTCCACTTGGATTCCATTCTAGGGGCACAAAGCGAACGAAGCGGGCTCTCACTGAGTGCAGTAACTTGTGGTGCATCACGCTGTCAGCATTCATGTTTCCTGCAAAGGTCTGCAGAGAGAAAAGGAGGCTCAGTGAGGTCTATGATACTATTGCATCTCATTCCCATGCCCAAGCTCAAAGCATCATTGCAAATCCGCATATGTTACTCCAAGAAAATCCTCAAGTTCTCACATATGTCAAATAGAATCTGACTCTCATGAAAATTCTGAATTTAGCAGAGGGAGTTTCTCAAAGAATAATGTATACCTCTATTAGATGCATTGAAGCTACCACCCACCCAAAACCAGCTCAAATGCTGAAGATAACTGAAAAACAATAAGGGTGACAGCCAACTTCTCATAAGAAATGGTGGAGACCAACCAATGCTGAAAGTAGGACACCATCAACCTGGCTTTCTATACCCAGCAAAAATAGCTTTCAGTTCTGAAGAAAAAAATAAGCATAGTTTCATTAAACAAAAGCTGACATAATTTATTGCCTACAGACCCCCACTGCTAAGATTGCTAAATAAGTTCTACAATCTAAAGAAACTGATTCAAGATAGAATTGTCAAGTTACAGGAAAGAAGGAATGAAGAGTACTCAAAGGGATAAATATGTGGGTAAAAATAAAAGACTAGCTTTCTTTCTTTTCCTAAACTTCTTAAGTTAATGCACAGTTTAAGGGAAACATAAAAATGTATTGTGAGATTTATAACATATATAGAAGTAAACATATGTCAATAAAACTATGAAAGATAGGATATAGGATAAATAGAATTACACCAGTATAAGGCCCCACAATTTATGTAAAGTGATATAATAGCAATTTGATGTAAACCATGATAAGTTAAAGATGCATAAAAATAAACCAAAAAGGTATAGCCACAAAGCCAATAAAAGAGAAAGGATGGAATATTAAATGATAACAATAACAATAATAATAATAATAATAATAATAATAATAATAATAAAACAAGAACAACAAACCAGCAACAAAAATCCCAGTTTAACACAAAATAAGACAGGAAAAGAGAAACAAAGGAATAAATCACAAAGAAGAAAAAGAAAAAAAGGAATTTCTAATAGACTTAATTTTAAGAAACATAATTACATTAAAAGAAAAATGAGTTACAACTCTAAAGAAAAGTTAGAAATTGTTAGCCTGGACAAAACAGTAAGGCTCATCTGTGTACTTTGTATATGATACTTTTTTTTTTTAATAGTAAAGATACTGACAGGTTAAAAATAAAGGATGGGAAAAGATATTACATGCAAACAGTAGGTATACAAAACCTGGAATTTTTGTATTAATATCAAAGAGGCTATATTGCAAGATAACAACTTCTCAAAATTACAAAGGGTCAATTCATCATGAAGAAAAAAAAAAAACAAAAACAAAAAACAAAACTGAATGTGTTTGCTTCTAAACAGAGATTTGAAATACAAGAATCAAACCCTGACAGAAACAAAAAGGGAAGAAACACAGCAGTGACAGTTACAGTTGACTTTTAATATCTTCCCTCATAACTGATGGAGCAAGTGGGAGGAAAAGCCAGTGAGGATATAGAATATTCAAACAGTGAAACCAACCTAATTACTCTTCATAGAAGATTGAACCACTGCAGATTAGATACATTGTTTTCAAGCACACATGGAACATTCACTAAGAAAGACCCTATTCTATACCATAAAGAACTATACTTTGTTTTCTGACCACAATTAAGTTCAGGATTAATAATAATAAATTATTTAGGAAACCCTCAAGTGTTTGGAAGTTAGTCAACACACTTCTAAATTACCTATAGGTCAAAGAAGAAATCAAAATGGAATCTAGAAAATAGTTTGAATTGAATAATGATAAAAACACTTTTATCAGCATTTCTGGAACACAGCCAAAGGAGACCTTAGAAGAAAGTATGTGGCTCTAAATGCTTTTTTACATAAAAAGAAAGAAGTCAAGTTAAAAAAAAATCTACATTTCCATCCCAAGATGTGAGAAAACTAGTAAATCCAACTCAGAATATTAGTAGATTGGATTACTACTCAGTAGTAAAAAATAACCAATAGCACCTACAACAAACCATGTGTTGAGCAAAAGAAGCCAGCTCTGAAGAGGGCATACTGCATGATTCTATGTTCATGAAGTTCTAGAAGGGGCAGAACTAAGCTCTGATGATAGAAACTGGATCAGTAATTTTTTTTTTTTTTTGATGATGGGAGACAGAAAAAGACTACCAAGCCCATCCATCAACTCACTTGAACAGAATATCCTTGTGAGATAGAAAATCTGTATTATCTTCATTTTAAAAATAAGAGAACTTAATTTTGGAGAGTTTAAATTGGATCATAAATCCTAAATCACGAAATTACCAAGTTGAGACCGGATTACAGAGACTCTGATGAAAGTCCAGTGACTCTGATTTAATTCCCATTATCACCGCATATGTCGGGTTTCTGAAACCAAGTATTGCCCCTGGCACAATAATAGCTCCCAGTTTTGTGGGGCTGCTCCACACCAGACACGTCCTAGGCCGGCCTCTGCATATTTTAGCTCACTGCACATATCATCAGGAAGGTTGAGCCAGCTTCCTCACTAAGGAGGCACCCCCACCCCCGCACATGTACATTCAAACTTTCTGAACTTGCAGTACATCTTATAATTGTGTAGCCAGCCCATATAGGGCTCCCCACCTCACCAGCAAACCCTGGGAATCAGAGAGTTTAATTTTGAACGTCATTATATATAGTATTTCTCAGAATAGTTTGTTTTGTTCTCATCCCACATCAAGCAGTAACATACTGAATTTGAGCACAGACCTTTTACTGTTGTCATACTGTTGGATAAATGGCATCATCATCATCATTATTATTATTGTTATTTTTATTATTATAAAATATCATGCATATGGTTCTTGACAAAACTGTTCATTGATTTTGTTCCTACATAAGAACACAGCGCACTAGGTAATCTTTCTTCCCCCATGTCTCCCCCTATAGTTAAAGAAATGTAAGGATCACAGAAGTTCAGTTCCTGTGTGCTTATAAGAGAAAGCAACCACATAGAAGGGGGCTCACCAGGGAGAGCATGGAGGAGAATGCACAAGAAAATGAGAGTGCTTGAGTCAGCATTCAGCAACTTCCACTTAGGCATTCATTCCCTGACAGTAAACAGCATTTTGGCTTCTGAATGGAAGAATCGTTGGTCATACTGAAGGTGCTGATGTTCTTCGTACTCTTTACTAGGCAGCTAAATAGAGTAGGCACAAACTAGGAGTCTAAGATGGGACAGTAACTGACACTTATCAGTGGAAAGTAGAAGGATCTGGGTTAGCTGCCACCAGAGCAACTCACTTGGCTTCAACAAATACATCACATCACAGCCAACCCCACTGATGACTTGGAATGGCAGCAAGATCGTAATCAACCAGGTATCATAGGGAAGATGTCATTAATTTGCCTAACTGCAGTCTGAGCAATAACTAACAAGAGCAACAACCAAATTCTGCCTCTGTAACCTTGACAGGGAATATCAGGAATCCTCAGGGAGACCTATTTCAAGTCTGGTGCTCTGCCAAACACCATGCTGTCTAGGGGTCTCTTTTAAAAGAAGCAGTAGAGTGGGAGAGAAAGGAGATGAACTTGGAGGGCTAATCCTAACCATCCTTGTGATTCGCTCTGTTGTCCCCATACTAGGACTGTAATTCCTTTGGGGATATAGACTGTATCTTTATTTTAAACTGGAATGCATAGTGCATGGAACACAGTATTTCTTTAAAGATTTATTTTATTTATTTGACAGAGAGAGAGAGACAGCTAGAGAGGGAACACAAGCAGGGGGAGTGGGAGAGGGAGAAGCAGGCTCCCGGCTGAGCAGAGAGCCCAATGCGGGGCTCAATCCCAGGACCCTGGGATCATGACCTGAGCTGAAGGCAGACGCTTAACGACTGAGCCACCCAGGCACCTCGGAACACAGTATTTCTTAAAGGTATGGTTGAAATGGCATTCAGTAACCTAAACCAAATTTGTGCATTGTAGTAATCTCAGAATCAGTGAATTACAAACAGCACCTTGACATAGCTCCCACGGTTATTAGTAAGTTGCTGAATTCACTGAGTGAATGAATGAGCAAAGGAGCGCAACTTTTTTGACTCTTGGTTTTCTCATCAGGAGAAGAGTAAAAATAAAATCTCCAAGGCAGTTGTGAATATTACATTAAATGCTATATGCATATGACAGTACACATAGTAAACTCTCACAGATACAATACATTCACACAGAGAGAAAGAAATTTCAATCACTAATTCTTGCATAAAAATATCTTTGTGTGAGAGTATATTCTAAAGCAGTGACTTTATTAATACTCTCAAGCCCCATGCAAGGCATTTGTCAATCATACTTAAATTTTCTGAATGACATTCAAAGGGTTTTCCCAGGAGGAAAAAAAAAAAAAAAACAGTACAAACTAAAGCTAAGGAAGGACTAGCAGCTCAGAGCTAATTAGAAATACATTTTTTTAATTTAATAAGATATATTTAATAAGGCAGAGGGTAATTAAAATGCAAACTGCAGAGTTAAAACTAAAATTGATAGGGGCGCCTGGATGGCTCAGTCGTTAAGCGTCTGCCTTCGGCTCAGGTCATGATCCCGGGGTCCTGGGATCGAGTCCCAGGTCAGGCTCCCTGCTCAGTGGGGAGTTTGCTTCTCTTTCTCTCTCTGCCTCTCCCCCGCCCCCCCAGCTTGTGCTCTGTCTCTCACTCACTCTTTCTCTCAAATAAATAAATAAAATCTTTAAAAAAATGCCCTCCTAGAAAATTGATGTTTGAGCTAAATGAAGCTTGCTCCCTAAGCTTCTTAAAAGCCAAGGTTTTTTGCTAAACCTGGGAAGGAGGAAGGACATAACCCACTAAGGTGTGATGAGTCACATCCAGAGGTCCCTTCAGAGCCCCACACCTACAGTGCAGGAATGCCCCCTCCCCCTCCAGGGCTCTACATGGCTCCCAAGTTCTGTTGGCTGTGGTAGTTGCTACTGCTGTAGGGCAGGATCACTCTAGCACAGCTGCTCTCCCAGCCACAGCCCTCCCAGCCACAGCCTGACAGCACCTTGACTAGAGCCCAAACCACGCATTTCTGCACTCCTGCCCCAGAGGCACAGTCTGTGTTCACAAATGGTCAACTGAATGTGTGAGCAGTTACCACGTGGAGAGGTAACTCATCTATGACACAGAGTTGATGGATACATTCCTCCCCTTAGTAATCAGGCATGCTGTTAGGATGTTCCGTGGCTCCATAAGGCCCCTTGAAAGCCTTGAGGAGATGTGGCCAGCTTGGAATTCCACTCCTTTGTAATGGCATTCCCTCTTTCCCCTCCTCCATCCCCTTTTCCTTCACTCTTGCTTCCTGGGAATTGCATTTGTCAAAATAGCTTTGGCCTCAGGCTTGTTTTTCTCAGGAAGCACTGGCTAAGATAAGAATGAACTCAAAATTAGCCTCCATTCTATTTGTTTTGATCTCAGAGTACAAACCCAGAGATTTAATTAAAAAACAAAAACAAAAACCCTCTTCCTTGAAAATAATGGATTGTAAGAAAATTAGCAATGGAATATAGCAGCCAAAATAGGCAATGCCTATCCTCAATGGAGGGATGGCCTTCTAGTTAGGCTCTACTTAGGTCAAATCTGAAGCGTGTGTATTTGGGGTGGGTGAGGTGGGCACTGGTGCATTTTTAGGAGAGCATCTACCAAGCATGATCAAAAGAGGCTACAAGACTGAAAGGATATTGGGAATGATCACATGAGGAACACTGAGGCCCCTGAGGCATGAAAGAGAGGGTGGTGAGAAAGGGAGGTGAAAATTACCATCAGATCATTATTGAAGAAAAATGCACCTTCTTTGTATAGTTTTAAATTATAGACATAGAACAAACTGGAAGGGATTTTGGGGAATAATGCTGTTCTAGAATGGAAGAGTCTGCATGGTGAGGTAGCAGCATCACCTGCAGGCTATCAGGGCTATCCAGAGATGACGCAGGAAGGGGGATTCCTGCAGGGGGAGACTGGGTTGGAGGAGTGCCAAGGTCGTTTCCAGTGTGAAGAGTCTGACCCAGGGTCTCAAACCTGGTTAGTATAACGTGCCTACCATTTATTCGCTGCATTCACCCCCAGGAAGTTCACTTCTTCACTCACTCATTCGTTCACCCGACAGACATGGATGCTGTTTGCGTGCTGGACACTACAGAGATACAAGGTGAATGATGCATTCTGCAGGAATCCACAGTCAAAAGGAAGGAAGCAGGAAAAAGAGAACAAACACACTGTCACCTAGCATGTTAAAGAAGGGAGTGGAGACTGGGAAGGGTACTGTGCTCCCATATGGGCTTGAGTGCTGGGAGGACTCTTCTCAGTTCTCAGAAAGGGACATTTTACTTGTCTTGAAGGTATACATATGATTGTTCTTGGTCAAGAAGGAAGCACAGATTTGTTTAATGTAGCACTTAAGATTCTCAGGTGGCACTGAAACTGTATCCTGATTCGGCCACTTACTTGCTACTTAAGCATCTGTAAAAGCAGATTCATTTACCCCCCCAAAAAAAATATTTTTGAGTGCTTAATCATGTGGCCAGCATTGTTAAAAGCACTTAAAATAGAGTTATGAAAAGATAGACACAGACCCTGTCCCTGCAGAGGGTATAGCCTTATGGGGTAGGTAGTCATTAATTACACATCCATCCCTAAATACTTGTATGGCATAATTGTGATAAGAGGAACAAGGGCCTAGTTTGGCCATGGGTGCCAGGGATAATAAACACACTTATTTCTCAGGATTGATATAGGGGTAAAATGTGACAATGCATGCTCAGTGTTTAGCACGGTGGCTGGCCCACAATACGTGACGGAAACACGATCGCTATTGACATAATGTTGATGATGATGATGATGAGTGTGCCTCTCCCATTAATGCCTCTGTGATGAGAACAAACATAACCACTGACCTCATCTACCAACAGACTTTTGTTTCCTGATTTTGAAGCTGAACGTCCCTGGTACATCTACAAAATTAATTTATATTTTCAATTTGTGTTCAAATAATATGCCTTTTATATCAAAAAATGAGGTGTGGTGGGGACCTCTTGCTCCATGGCTAGGTGTCTGCCATCTGCAAAGTGACCTCTAATCATTTGTTAAGTACCAGCTGTTTCTGTAGAAATAGTCAAGACAGTGAGGCCCATGTCCCACCCAAATTTGAGTCCATATGCTATCGGTGTCTTTTTCTGCAATCTCACTTGTAGGAGCACAGCTGTGGATGGGAAAGGCAGGCAAAGTGAGGTGAACAGAAGACCATGAGTGGAGGCACCTTTAACTCTGAAAGTGTACCTGCTCCTTCCTTGTAGGTTATAAGACTGAAGAAGTCAAATAGCAGAGGAAGAACAAAACAAATCCACAGCTCATTTAAGATGTCTATTTTTTTCTATTTAACTGAATCCTAAGTTTGGGATTCAGAAGAACTCAGACTGAAACTTACTTACCTTTTATAAGTTTGGTTTCCTAAT